AAGCTTCCATGCACAGCATCGAGACTGTCTCTATCTAGATGGCGTCGATGCGGAGCAGATTCGATACGACCTCGTTGCAATTCATTGGACACATCCACGGCCATGAACGGACTGGTATCAACGGCTGAATTCCCCTGAGTTAGAGAAGAGTTCTGAGCCTGAGCTCCTGCGTCAGCTGGGCAAGAGACGGCGGCTGTTCTCCTGAGTAAGCCGCTGCTAACGATAATTGCCCACTCCTGCAGGACACAGTCCACCGAAAAAAAAGATGTCCTCAAACTCGAAGCTGATAGTTCGCGTAACGACGTGGATTCCGCCCGGAGCTCCAGCACTGGGGACCTTCACAATCGCCTTAATCGCTCTAAATCGCCATCTCGCGCTCCGCAACCCGCTTGAAAAATGTCCCGTGCGTGACTTCCGAAGGAGCGTCTGGGCTCTCCAATGAGATTCTGGATCTGTTTCCACTTGTCGTGACTGGGAGAAGAACTTCCGATCGGTGGATAATTCGAATTCGACCTCAGCGAGAGCTGAGTTTCATCACAAATGAAAGGACAGGCGCGGAGCGGCTCAAGCTGGAGGTGACTCTGCCGGTCGCTCGATATGGAAATTTGAGGCCCTAGCGGGCTTCTGTTGACTGAACTTATGATCAATATCTGAAATTTATGAATGGATCATGTGAATAGCTGGAAAGATCGAACTCATTCCACCGTCGTGAGCTCCGAGAACTTCGAGCGCATTTATAACCAGTAATCACTTAGCTGCTTGGTGGCGGCGTCTCCCTCGAGATTCTCCAGGCTGCATATTTATCCCCTGAAAGATATCCATTCCTCTACAACATTCATTAATCAATACGCCTAATGAAGATACATCAGATCATCACGGAATTGAACTACCAAGACAATTTTTTACCTAATCCATGGAGGACAGAGGGACGCGCTGACTGACCGCCCGGGTAGCTCAATTCAGCCCATTAGACGATTTATTCTCCCGAGTGTGGGTTGATAGTAACGAAAGGAAGCGCGCCTCCCGTTCGGACCCCGCTCACGGAGTTTTGGAGCTTCTCAAGGTATAGGTAGCTTAGGTTCTCCTCAGGGGACATCTCTCGACTCCGCGGTAAGGGTCCGATACCAAGCGCAGCTTGCAATGAATCCGGTATCGTATTTGTCTGGTCGATATGGGTCCGAGGTTTCCCATGGCTATCGCAGCTCACCCGCGAGCCCCTCTCTGATTTCGGAGAAGGATGCTGGAGAGCCCCGTTCCTCTCTCCGGCGTGAACCAATTCTTCCCAGAAGGATACCATCTAGTTTTTCGTCTCAAGAGTATTTCCGTAAGTCCAGCTGACGATTGGTGAGACAGCCGGTCAGATGTGTAATACCATTTTTTCGAGTTGCCAGCCGCACTGAGGAGGCTCTTTGCTCTTCATTGGCTCGCTCCGCAATGGGTCCGAAGCGACCACAATCACGTGGGCCCCGGCTGACAGAGTTCCCCGCGCTGGGGCTTCTGTTCGCAATCTCAGTGTTTTTGAACTCGGAAGCGAGCGGAGTTTCTGGTGCCTACATTGAAGGAGAGGGACATTTTGGATACGCAACTCGAAGGCAATAGCGAGGTTTCCTAATGAATGTTCAGCTTCGGTATCCGGCCTTGTTGGTTGGCGGAGAGTTCATTCTTGGTCCTTCTCTGATCGGTCAACTCGATAGGAGTCTCGGACGAGATCGAAACGCATGGCCATGGCATTCGTTCGCCTCAAACCATTTGCTGCGGCTAACGGTCCGGACTAGCTTGCCGGCAGCGTGTATGATTTGCGGGAAACATGCATGCGTGGTTGCGTGTGCGTGTGTCAGTCACGCAACAGAACACGACAAAAACGATCGTTATTCGGTTTGGAAAATGAAAAATCGTCAATTTTCCGTCGCAGCGGCCAACTCCACTACTAATGACATAGAGACACGACATTGACGAAACTGAGGAGAGAATCCAGTCAGCTAGCCGAAATCGTGCCAACCTTGCTCGCAGTTGCTCCCGTCGCCGGTGTCGACACGCTCGTCAACAGCGGCGCAGCAGAAGCGTCTACACAGAAAAGTAAGCTCGGTGTCGTCGCTGATACGTGTCCGAGCGCTCAGGGAAAAAACTGCTGATGCGAGCCAAGGCGAATATGAAAATTAAGTTCGGAGGAGACTCCGGACGACATTCCCTTAGCGAGACCTGTCAACCGAGCCAGTGATGGCGATCCAATGCGAAACCAATGCCATCGACGGACGCAAGGACTACATAGATGAGCAGTAGAGAACTCCGCTGAGCAAGCGAAGTCTTGTCGCGAATAACGGAGTCCGGTAATCTAGCTTGAGACTTGAAGCTGCTAGGGAGAAAACGGCCAGAAGTGGAACCGAAGCAGCAGCTGTCTACTTCCTTTGGACTCGCAAACCCTGGAGCGGAGAAGGCCCGAACTCTCCGGTTCTGCCTTAACAACAAGCTCGCTCCAGCCACGCTCCCCGGAGAGATATTGAGAAAGAATCAAACACCTGGAAGCTATCCGCAAGAACGGCTCGGGGACCCTGCTTGTCCACGTTTTTGCGGAAGACCGGCCCAGATGAATGGATACTCCACGAAGGTGGAGCTCAATCGTGAAAGGGTTGCTCGATACTGGCGGGAGACCCCGATTATCCTCGTAGATTATTTGGGATGCCCTAACGACGCAGCGGACGAAATGAGGGGACCGGACTGCAGGTCAATCAGGGTCGGATTCAGGACAATGTCTCGCTGGAAACGAGGCCTCCAAAAGGAATTTTCAATCAGAAGCTCTTGTTCAGCGCTCTCGGGCGTGGGAAGCAATAACTCTCGAACGACGAACGACTATTCACCGGCAGGGAGGCCAGACCCGCAGGCCGGACCGACGCGGTGACGGCCTGCTAAGCGACGGACCCGGTCCGCGTAATGCGTTTCTCATGTAACTTCGAGGCTCCTTAGCAAACGACTAAATGAGAATTCGCCTTTCCGCAATCTGCATACGCATGTATCGGTTAGGAATTGGCTTGTTCCCTGTCGGAGCTTGAAGCATCGATTATAATAAGTCTTCATTATGCGAGTCCCAAAGTGACGTTCCTGAGCGGAAATCCACTCGACCATATTCAACGCCTTCTTTCCCGAAACGGAGCACCGAAGGCAGCTCTCGGGGTGCGAGCGCTCCGCCCTTGTAGCGATTGATTCCCCCGGACGGTGCAAGGAATCGGGCCGATCTGGGACACTATTTCGGAATTAGCCTGGCCGATAGATAGGACAAGACTGCTCCGTTCTGAGGGCGCCGGAGAAATGTTCGATAGAAGAGCTTCCGGGACGCGCGAGGTCCACGTCTTCTCGCCTCTAATACGTTTGTCGGTGCGCTTGCTCATGAGCTCTTCCGTTGGCGCAATATTCAGAAAGGGTGAACGATGCGATAGAAAATTCTATTCCGGACAAATTCGCGATAAGCTCGCTCCGGTCGGACAAGCACGCCTTGCACGGGCAAGACAGTGAGCGAGCGCATCCAGAGGCGGGGAACAGGGCGCTGGATAGGGACGAGCGCGAGTCGTCTTCCCCCTTCGACGGAAGCCTTCAAAGTACGGTTTTATGCTTTTGAACTCGACGCGAGGTCATCGGGCAGAGTTCAATCGCCGGGGGCGGCCCGTGTGTACGCTGCATTTTTGAGCAGGGTCCGACAGCTAATAATAATTGTGTCCGTTGCCTTGAGCAGAGGCTAAAAGGCTTCACACTGCAGATGCTCCGAGCCGCGCCTTAGCCTTTATCCAGCTAGGTGGTTCGCCTCACATCTGACCTCGATTTTTTGTTTCCCTAATCGGAGTTTCTCGGTTTCAGATGGTACCACCAGCCGAGTGCAGTCAGCTTAGAAGTTCGAGACGGAGCCCGTCCTTCGTGATCGATGGCCGCCTTCCAAACACAAAGGTAAACATAAGTCATTTGGATCCTCGTTCTAGCAATAATAGAATGCGTGGAGTCCGAGAGATTCAAGAGAGAGATCCGACGTGGAGACCAGAAAGTGATCCGCCGGCGCGTGGAGAGAGCCTCCTGTTATCCAAGTCGTGACACAGCTGAACCCCATCGGCTTGCGCCTCTCGGTCTACTCCTCCCACGCAGCGAATCAGGGGAACTTTCTATGTACAATGTAATACCTACGAACCCCCCCCCCCCTCGAGGTCTCAGTCAGAGCTTAAGGTGGATCATCGACGTGGGGGTATTGCAGAGCAAAATTCATATATTCTTTACGTGTTTGCCCGCCCGCTCGCCTGACCGTTCGCTCGGCTGGTAGTCGAACGGAGCCTCGCTCTCGCAGCTCTGATTACGGTCGAGATACTCGCATGTACATTCTCGCGAAAAGATTTGGTCTCGCTCGAAATTGAGTTTTCCATTAGGAGGTTGATATCGCCTCCAGAGGACGAGCCGTGAGTCAAAAGGGAAAAAAAATCGTTCTGTTCGATTGTTGCTCACGTTTAACTCCGATACCTCAAATGCAAAAGCGGAGAGACACCTCGACCATGGAGGAGAAGTTTCTCGATCTGAGGTGCCCGAGAGACTCCGAAAATTTCCAGAATATTTAACGTTCACTGAAATGTGTCCGCTGAAGCCGCTTGGCGTAACGTCGATAAGAATCGGACGGAGGAGATAGTAGGCGACTAGGTACAAGGAAAGCAGACTGATTTTATGATCATTGGACACAGTAAAACGTGAGTTGACATGCGAACACGGGCACAGAGAGAACTGAGCATTGCGAACATGCGTCGGTGGAGGTCTAGATCACTTCTAATGTGAATTTATCCCCCATTAACAGTGGTGTTCGTCGTTGTCGTGTTATTGCTTGACGCATTTCACGGTCGTCACGGTCAGGGTCCGTGTCAGACCTAACCAACGTATTCATTTCAGACTGGTGGGCGGTCACTTGGACCCCAAGCAGCGAGCATTACCTCTGTCGGCTTTTTGCGGAGCACGTCAAGTGCGGATAATCCTTACAATCTGCTTCGTCGCCGCGATATGCTTCCTGTTCAGCGCCAGTTACACGTAAGTCTCTCCAATGGTTTACTCCGAAGAACTCCAAGCGTCGGACAGAGTCGGAGCAGTGTAGCGCGGAAGCTTGAGAGGAGCCCGCCCAAATGACCACTCTAATAATAATCGGCCGATACGCTCCATTTGCTACTCTCGCTCAATCCTGAAGCATCACGATACCATCAATGTCATTGTAATCCACTCGATCGGCCCGGAGTCCGTTTGGAGTTCCGCTTCAGTCGAGATACGACTGTCCGGGGGCTCCATGTTTCGGCCATCATTCACTTGATAGTCCCGAAAGGGGAAGCTGCCGCCGACCGGCAGCTTATCGAGTATCCAGCAAGGTCCCATCCGAATAAGCTCCTCAAGGCCGTATGGCTCCCACTGATCGATGCCCATATTGTACCGCTGGCGCTGTACATGTGCCTCCGGGAATTCAGGTGTCCACAATGCAATCGACGAGATGCCATGTTCGACCTCTCCTTTTTCTTGGAGACGTGCTTCCACTCGCTCCAAACTTCGCTTCGGAAACATCACTCCGCGGATTCAACCCGGTAAAATCATACTGTGTAAGCCACTCGGCGACCCCCTCTGCGTGGAAATCGGCGCTCCAGCGGCTCTCCTTCCTGGCAGAGATTCCCATCGGGAACTCCGCAAGAATTATTGCACGAGTTCACCTCAGGCTTCCGGACGGTCTCCGCAAGTCTGCATTTTGTATCCAAATCGGTTCGGATTCCTCAAGCTCGAGGAGGGGGTGGGGGCATCAGAGAACGCCACAGATTAGCTGTACCCCGAAATCGGCTCACCTCGATTATCGAGATCCCTGAGTCGAGCTCACGGGCGCTTCCCCGATATTATACGAGCGCATTCGCTGATCTTCGAGGGCTGGTGATCCTGATTGAATAGACTTCAGGAGTTCATGCCCGCCGATTCGGATGCCTAACGGCACTAACGGCAAGGAGTGCGGGAGCTCCCCGGAAATTCATCACAACTGTGAGCCGAGACTCGGCGTCCTCCCTCTCCAAGCAGTAATTCGTCGATCGCAATCTTAGGGGGGGGACGATCGCTTGGCAACGGTGCTATCCGGCCCGACTCAGTCAGAAGTGACAACAGCCCGATTCTGGGAATAGATCGGCCCTGATTCCGCGCCATTGTCTGCATTGGAGCAAGATAGTTGGTCCTCCTGATTGTACATCTTGTATTGTCTTCGCCGTTCATTGTGTCCACGGATCTTACATAGATGCTCGAATCGTTAGGCAACAATGTACGACTTGGAGATAATGAGAGGCCGTATGCGCTCTTTTCTTGTCACGGAACGGACCGCGGAAGATTCACAATCGACGGCGATTTCCGAGAAAATTCGTCAACCGCAGTTTCCGGGAACCAAGCTGCTGTCGCAAAATAGGGTCGACATCGATAGAAACCCCAGTTCTTCTAATCGAGAAAAATCTCCGTGGTATTCGAAATTGTCTGACACCTTTCTGATCGCGATAGGCGAGAGATCGGCGATGGTTGATTTCAGCGCGCTTGTATCACACGCTCTGGAATTTGGGCTAGGTACTCTGGTGCTTCCGAAAATCGGCATCGTGTCCACAGACCGATCCTCCATCACTGCTCCCTGAGCTTTCAGAGATAAGCCGCGGCGACTGTTTATCGATGTAATCAACGAGTTAGTTCCGACTCAGCTCGGGGTCCGAAACTTGCAACAGCGTTACTTCACGTCGGAACATGCAAGGGAAGGGCAAGCTCGACGAGAATCAATCATCTCCAACGGCCGCTGCAGCGAGGGCATGTGTCAATAACTCTCCTCCTGGGTGGATTTTTCCGTCGAGAGCAGGAATTCTCCGACAGGAGCGGTGGAGAAATATGCGGTGCTCGTGCATGCTTGAAAAGACTAGGGCCCGGAGCCGTACGCTCGAGTCTTCAATCGTGGATGCTCGGATCGATTTCAGACGATTTGCCGAGTTCGATATCATCATCACCTGTATGAAACTCGGAGACTGTAAAGTGAAAGATCCGTCATTCCACTCTTTGGCACGAGTTCCGGAGGCTTGTTTACCCAATCGACCGATGCCATTCAGTCGTATCGATGCGAAACCCGTTCCTGTTTGCTACGAGGACAGGCGTCCAAACCTCCCTCCGGAATCGCAATTTGGCTACCCCCGGTAACCTCTCTGCGTGCCGTCGTGACAAGCTGTCCTGTGCGAGCGGGAAATCTTCTCTTCTGACTGTTGTTTTCGAGATTGATGGATGATGACTTCATCGGTGATCCTCTTTCAATCGGCTATACTTCGTCTCCGCGCCCTGGGTCGGGCTGATTAATTTGTTCCGACTCGATACTCGCTCCAATCTGATAACCGGATCGACCTGATTTGGGCATGGCTTCTCCGCTGAAGCCATATTTAAGCCGATTATGGGAAGTTCCGCCGAGGACGAACGAGACCGTCTGATGATGGAAGAAAGTTTCCCCCGTCCACTGGCATCAGCAACAAAAAGTTGACTCATTCTCATACCAGGAAGATATGAGCTTATGGCAGCGGCAAAAGTTCCGGGAGCTCTCCTGCGCGCCTGCCGGATCATCCTTATCCGGGTCTAGTTTTTCATCTTTCAGCCAAGTAGGGGGAGCGATGAATTTCTGACAATCACGAAGGATACCGAGCGATGCTGTTTACGTCGGAACCTTCCGAGGAATTCGAGTCGCGCGCAACCGGGCCGGTTGCTTGCTCGCAAGGAAATTTTCGCTCCGAGATGATGAATTTGTGTGTCTCGAGAAAACAAAGATTTCCGGGCTGCGGGGAACTCGTATCCTTAGCTACGACAGGAGAGCGAAGGAGCTCTCGTTTTTCTGAGCTTCTGTGTGCACTGAGTGAGCCTAGGGTGATTAGGTCAAGCGTGTGAGGAAAGCATTGTCGTCCGTAATTCCACCAACAACGTCCAATGTATAGGCGATGATCCCGGTCATTGGCAATATCGACCCACTTGGCTTTGTCATCTGGTCTCATTCAGGAGTGGAAGTTGAATGAAACGACTGAATTAACGTGGGGTTTGTGAGATATCTGTTCAGCAGGACTAGCGACTCGTTTCCAGGATTTCCTGACGCGATCGCGTTCCAACTTGGAACTTCCAAGGGAATTTCAGCTGTTCGCAGATGCTCTCGCTAACGACGCAGTCGGAGGTTTCTTGTCCACAAGCAGCTCGCCTCGAACGGGGGAACTTGCGTTGACACAGCCGGAGCCTCCGAATTCCGCTGTTTGAGCGTAGAAGGCTTCAGAGGAAGTCCTTCTGAGTTTCGATGTTGCCTCCAGTCTAGCCGGAATCTGGTCAATTTTGAGGGAGCCGAAAACTTGATCTACACACAGGTCGCGGGCATGAGCCCAACATCCTCCTCGCTGCCCGGAGTTGTCGCATAGACTGGATATGCAGATATATTAGCTCTGGGCGCATCACGTTATTTTCGTTGAACTCCGTGGTGACGTAGGGGACAGTGAATTGCCACCGGAGCCGGATATTTGATCGAATAGTTTGTTGCTGACGGCAATCGCTCCCGGAACTTCGCGGGTACCGAGGAAATCGATTCGGAGTCCGCGCTTCAGTCTGTCGCATGACGGGGTCCGTTGTCCATCTGCATGCACATCGCGTATCAGGCGGGGTAACCACGGAGTAGGCTGACGGGCTGGGAAGGCGCGCGGGAATCCCAGCAAGATAATCGACTCCGCGACACCCATGATGTTTCCGATCTACACGACATGTCTCGTTGAGAGAAAGGCCGGTCGTGCATTGAATACCCGGATGGCGACCGGGCTTGTATGCAGTTCAGCAAAAACGGAGTTCGAGGAGATGTATTCAGGAGTTAAATTCGAATTTTGTTTTCGGTTTCAGCACACCGATCCTCGGAGACACCGAGGCGGCAATCCTCATGAATACAAGCGACTCCGCTTCGTATGCGTGCAAGAAGAGAGAACATATTTACTTCATGAAAACGCACAAATGTGCCAGCTCCTCCGTGCAGAACGTTTTTTTCCGGTGAGTGCTCAATTAGTTCCCCCTCCACGTCCGAAATCGGACAAGTGTCTGCTTGAGATCTCGCATCCCGCCATATCTGGTTCCGTATTCGTCCCGAAAAAACGCGTTCTCCCGCCTGAAATCCGCTGGCCTGGTCTCGTGTGCCCTTCTCTCCTTATTCCCGGTTCGGGCAGAGAAGACTCGTTCCGACCCACAAAAGGCAAAAGCGAGTCTTTGTACGGTACTATTCTCCGGAGAGGGTCTCGGGTTCGCATCGAGCCATCTCCGAAAGGGCCGGACGAAGATTCAACGTAGACACATAGCAGAGTCATTCGCGGGAGCCCTCGACTCCCTCCTTCAGTGCGCGCATCGGATGACTGATTCCGATCTAGGGAACTCAGACAATCTTAAGAATTCACTTCGATCCCCGCAGATACGGTGATAAGCACAACTTGACGTTTGTTCTCCCGCCCGGTGGCACGAACTACTTCGGTCATCCGAAATATTTCAATCGAGCCATGCTTCCAACTACTGTGCGGCCCGTGACATACAGGTGAGTTGAAGGATGCAGCAGTGTCGGATTCTATTTACAAGTAGGTAATCAATTTCAACTTCTGCGCGGAAACACTTGAATAACGACCGATATGAAGCGGAAAAGAAGGACAAGAATCAACGGGGGAGTGAGGTCGAATTCTGACCGGTTTTCTCGAAACCGATAACGTGTTACTTCAGTCGCATGGACGACAAAGCTCGCAGGTCGAAGGTTCTTACAATGGTACCCCGCCTTCGCGGAAGGCCGTGGGGCATTGATGTGAAATCGCGAATTTCACGTCTCTCTTCGTCTGCTCCAGGCCAAGCTCCCGTTCTTTCAATTTGAATGATGGTGAGAGAACGCGACTTTGCGAATGGCTTGTTCAAGACAATCGGAGATTATCCCGGGTCTCGTTCGATCCTGGGAATTCCAAGCATTCTGCAAGCCATCCATAGCGGCTCGCTAGTCCTTACTGTGCATTCTTCCGGGGGAAGTCATGCCGAGCAGCGATTCTTGATGTCAATCAGAGAAACGGTCAGGAGTTTGCATCGAAAATCAGGTCTTTGTCTAGAGAAAAGGTCCATCGTTTTTGATGTTTTGGTCGTTGCTCAACATTCAGTCAGCTCTGCTCTGGTCATCGAGTGGGTCTCTCAACGTGTACCCTCGGGTTCTGTTAATCCGACTGAGCCTCCGCGAGAGATAAAGCGTCAGGATCTTGAATTCTGCCGAAGTCCTACCCCGCTCAAAGCGACAGCCGTCATATGCCGCTCTCTCATGGCGCATACCGAATGAGCGGATGTCAAGGGAGCAGAAGGATCTCGAGTCCGGAGCAGACTCTCCGAGTCGACTCGGAACAATTGACGATGACGACCTGTCTCGCTTTGACACGCATTGACATTCGCGCTTCCCTCACGGCAAAAAGCTCATACGCGTAAAAGCCTCCCCTCGCTTGACGTGGCGGTATTGATGCCGGCTCAACCTGCGCCTGTATTCTGTCGTGTCGGGGGAAGCCACAATACGAGGCGAATTCGTCTTTTTTTTTCGTGATACACACAAGCGTTCTGCTACATGGCCACCCTCTGTCGGGGATCCGAGTAATGGAAGCTACGAGATTCGTGAGAGTGGAGTGGATGAGAGCCAAATGCTGTGCGTCCTTGAGCCGTAACGTTACGCTCAGTGGAGTTTGTATCGGGGTTGCCGTGGCCCGCTCTCCACTTGGCTACCGAGCAGGTTCCGCTGCACTTGGTCAGAGCCAGAGTGATTCTTATCAGGGAGTTGGCCCTCCACACTCCGCCGCTCAGGGCAATTCGAGTCGTTGGCGACGTTGTTGGCGAGACAGTCCTCGTGTACCCGCTCGATTCTCGAATCGATTGCAGGAAGCTCTTATTCGACACTGTCAAAGCTTGTACGGGGTCTTCTCGACGGGAAAACTGCGTCGAGCTTGGCTGGTCGGAAGTGTCTCGTGCAACAGCCCGCCGAATGCATTCAGCAGCCTCGTCGAATTCAGACAGCTCCACCTGCAGGAAGCGGAGCATGGTCCAAGGCTGGGGAGAAAGCACCGAATGGCACGAACGGAACGACCGGCGGAAAAAGTGGGAATAACGCCCACAAGCATCCTAATTCATTGCTGCCGGCGAAAGGTCAAGGGCGCACGAATCCGCGAGGATGCGCCCATTGTCGTTCCTGCAGCGGTATCGGGACGCGGCCCAACAGGCATGCCGAAGGCGAGACGCGCGAGTTATCCACTCCTCGCAGGCAATCATACGCGCCGCTGGTGATCCAGGGCGATTGGATAAACGATTGTAGCGCCGACGCCGTTTTCCCCATACCCGAATAGGGAGAATGGTGCAGGATAACTCAGTCTCGGGATAGAAGGAATTTTCCCCTAATTCATCCGCTAATTGGAATTTCTTGCAGCATTTTCGCGCTACACACCCGCTTCCAGAGAACTGAGGTGCGAAAGGTGATGCCGTCGGACACCGTTTACATCACCATTCTTAGGGACCCAGTGGCCTTGTTCGCTTCTATGTTCTCATACTACGACATGAAACGCATGTACAGACGTGAGTATAGAGACCCGCCACGATCCTCACGAATCACGTCGGAGCTCTCGGGGCAGGGAGTTTCGGAGAGGAAATCGTACAGAAATAATTGTTCGGAGTGGCTCCGAGGGACGAAGCTGAGGAGACGACTGAATGAAACAAACTGTTTTTTTCCACGCAGTATCTCTCGTGAATTTGGTTCGAGAACACCCAGAGCCGCTGGATCCTATTTATCGAGAACGGAAATTTTCAAAGTTTGGCCTAAATCAAATGGCCTTCGACCTTGGTCTTCCGCCTTCGCAATTTCGAAACGCCGATATCGTCGATCGATTTATCAAACGTCTCGAAGAAACATTCGATCTTGTGCTGATCGCTGAGCGCATGCCCGAATCCCTCGTTCTCCTCAGGTAAGATGATTGTAAACTGCTCGGATCGATTGGTCGATACCGGGTAGGATTTCTAATACTGTCTGACTCTCTCCGCAGATATTTGCTTTGTTGGGACGTCGATGACGTGATCCTGTTCAAGAAAAATGCCCGATCCACCAGCTACAAGAAAATCGAGCAACAACTCACTTCACAGGACGCGGATACCCTCAAGAGGCTCAACGAAGCCGATCAGAGGATGTGAGTCTGCTCGAGATAATTTGCTCTCTTTCCCCTTGACACCGCGGAGCTCTCAGAGCGGCGAGCGGTGGAGTGCGCAACTCACGCGACGCTTCTCCAATCAGCTGGGAGAGAAAAGACAAACAGCTGGGGAGAGAAAAGACAAACAGCTGAGGAGAGCGGAACTTGGGAAATCCCTAGGTTTTGGACTCTAAGAGCACGAGCCGAGCTTCGTCACTTGTTCAGAAGGCCGCCGGGAGTCGGGGTGAACACTCCCAAGAGCGATAGACCATGAAACTCCCCTTTCGGAAGCACCTTGCTGATAACGCCGTTTCGAATTCCAGCTACGATCACTTCAACAAAGTTCTAAGCGAAAAATTGGAGCTGTTCGGACTCGATCGAGTTGCTGAAGAAAAAGCGCTTATCGATGAGAGAACGAAATTCTGGTACAACGAGTGCGTCGATACCGTCAGGAACGTTGACCAAGAGACAGCGAAGAAGAAAAAAATATATTCGAATCAAGTGAGTAAATCAGAGGATAGATCTCTGCCATCAGTTCGGTCATCCCCGATTCGTGATGAACGCGCCTGGCCCGGCCGAACGCGTCGCGTATCGGGCTTGTCTCAGGCGGTAAAAGGACAACGGAGTGTGAATATGCTCGACGAGCGAGAAATGGCCAGCTGAGACATTGCTGACCGGCTCTTTTCCAGGTGATGTACTTCGAGGAGCGCAAGGGCGCAGATCCTGAGTGTCAGCGCTTCCTCAGGGAAGAACTCGCTTACGCAGCTTATTTGCGAGAGCGACAGAGGAATCTATATTTCAACGCCTCGTCTTCAACGAGGCATTGACGATTCATTCGCACGACAGAAAAATTGATGTAAATGCGAAAGAAGACCTGATTGTGATAAGTGATCGAGAGGAAGAGCTGCCACCGACAAAGAGAACGACTGAGCTGGGTCGCTCGATTGAGTGATTGGAGATCGCCTCCATAGAGGAAACCAGAGAGCTCTGTGAAGCCCGTCTCCCATTGTGCGGCGAAGTCACTGTGGAAGAGCCAGCGCCTCTATCCTCTCCGTCGGTCGAAGGTAACAGGGAGAAACCAGATCGCTCAACAAGTACACGAACAGGTTTCCGTGAATCCTTTCCGTGTCATCTGTCGTACAGAAAATTTCCATCGATGGAGGAAGGGATGAATACGCTCGCGTCTGCTTTATGAGCTCTTCCACGGTTCCCAAAGCTTCATCTCCGAAATCAGACATTACCAGGATCAAGTTTTACGACCGCCGCGCTTGTTCCTGGAGCTCCGAGTCGCATCAGGATAGCGATCGGAGTATTATCGGAAATTGGATTCCTCCCCGTCGTTCGGAACAACTTCGAGCTCCCAAACGAAGCGAGAGATTCCTGACGCACCCGGAGTTGGCTTGTTGACGAAATTACAAAACCTTCATGATCCGATCTGGAAGGTCCTCCGATTGGAGCGATTGAGCGCTGTGGGTTCCGGGGAGGTGATCTCGTAAGTCGTTGATGGTCGGTCTTCTGATAAGAATCGTCCGTATTTCCCGGACCGCTCATCAAAATCCGATCGGTGTGAGCAAAAGAGCATCTTCCGTCAAGGTGCGTGGTGTGTGCACTTGAAGTGAACGCGAAGTCTGATAACCGAATACGGGAAAGTCGTCCAATCAGAAGAACGAACGCTCTATGCGCCTAGTTTTTTACGAGGGTCAGAGGGAATTCCGGGGATCCCGGTGGAATCGCGAGAGCTCGTCTCGCAACAATAGAACTATTTTGAGAATTTCCCCGGGAATTAGTCAGATTTTAGATGACTCATTTGATCTACAGGGACTTATCTGCCAGACTGAATCGGACTCCCCGGGAGGGTGGTAATCTTGTCATATATGTAGATAGAGAGGCGAGTTCTGGCGGGGAATGAGGCTCATTGCGACGAGTACGGAAGGAGCCTCAGGAATGACAGATCTGAGCAGGTGGTCGAACTCCTTGTGGACTGTGCCGCTGCTCGTTCATCTTGCCTCGGTCCCCTCGTCGTCCACCGGACATAAAACAGCAATAAAATCGTCCCGTAGGAAGAGGATCTGCCCTCTGGGAGGGAGCGCATCGCATGAAGCAACGTATCCAAGGAAAACTGAGTTTCGAATCAGCTCTCAAACGAAAAATTTGATCTGCTGCGCGGTCGGAAGCAGAGGGACTTCGGAGGAAGTCGTCTAAAGCTCGAGAATTCAGCAAGACTAGTTCGAGGCGACGCAACGAAGAATAGAACCCAAAGTAAAAGATTTACCCATCGCTCTGGTAAGCAAATATCAGATCTGGTGATATAGGTACGCGTAGGTAGAGCATCAGACATCGTGTTGTTCGACGTACCTATGAGGTCGCGGTAGTCGGTCGTATTGACAAGAGGCCCGGGGCCAGCTCAGAAACCGATTCAAACTTAAGGTTACTTTCCTGTATGACTTGAATTATCACGCTGAACAGCACCATCTCCTTTAGCCACATCATCACAGATAGGCCTACGTTTCGAGTAATCAGCCCATATATTTTGATTTTGAGGCAGGTTTTGTATTGCGTTGACCAGAGTTAGAGAGGTATTGTGTGATATTGGGCGAGCAATCGGGGAGATATTTGCAAGGCAGACCATTGTATAGCTTTCAAGGTCGGTGCGAGGGTTTGTGGGACAGCGCGGAGTATCGATGTTTCCCCTGATCCGAACGCGACGAGCAACCCCTCGATGGAAGAAAAGTGGATCGATTCTCCGGAGACGATTCGCTCGCGCGGTACTCTGTCGCTCGCTCCCCAGACCCGCGTAAGTTTTGTTGGAAAACCGTTCGTAAATGATAATTGATGGAGGGCAGGAGTTGCCGCGGTCGACGAATCGGCTCACAGTTCTGTATTCAGAATGTAAATACATATGAGGAGAACGCCGTCCGAATGATAAGGAATAAAAAACACAGTCATTGGAAAGAGAGGGGAGTCTTCTTTCTCGGAAGCCGAGGAACTCGCGACCACGTCACTTTCATCCCCTGGAATGAAGGATCCCAGGGGAATCGAGCACTAAATTTTACGGATCTCGCCACAGGGTTGATTGAAGACAAGCTACTGAGCTTGAACCTTTTATTCATCTTCAGTTCAGAACTTGCTCGGGCTAGGAGATTCTACATCTCACCGATCAAAAATCGGGGCACATGTGGTGTCGAACATGGACCGCCTCCCGCAAGCTTCCCCAGGAAACGGGCTCGCCTGCAATGCTCATATCACTAATGCACCCAACGAGATTTTTCTGTGCTAAAATGACACCTCTATCCGCGGTGTACGGGAGACCTCCGATATAGAGAGGGCCTCTTGTGAGCTCGTGTTCGGGAGGTAATGCAAAGCTTTCCGGCGCTGATGTGACAACAGGACGTTCGTCATCCAGTTGTAGCCAGACTTGACGTAATCCGAACGAAGCTCGCACGGGATGCCAATCGCGATTGCAATTGAGCGTTGTATTCGCTCGCAAGGTCAAGGGATCCTTGATCGTTCCGACGTCCAAAGCTGCGACGAGCTGTGGGATATGGAGAGAAAAGGTGAGCTTTCATGCAATGTCTTGGGAAAATCTTTCCGGGAAAGGAAAACAGGCAGACACCCAGCCTGAGACGAAATGAAATTGCCGTCGCTGTCAGAAACTCGAAGGGCGCCGACACAGAGTTGAGCGGGACCCATCGGGCCGCAGAGAACAGGCACGAATAAATAGGCCTTCGGATCAACGCTCGGAGTGGAATTTGATGACCGAGTAGAAGGGGGAAATGTAGGCAACATCAGTTCAAGCGAGGCGAAGGGACGGACGGCCATTAAAAAGGATTTCTCTAAGAGATACTCGTGTACCGACGCGACAGCTGCCTCTGCCACGTGACTTCAGCTGTTCTGGCACGCTTTCGCGGAACGACGCCGACGGCGGCGCCCAGTCCGCAAGGAACAGCTCGAGAACGGGAAATACAGACTACTACCTGCATCACTGGAATCCGATCAAGACGTTTCTAATACCTGTCCGTTGAATATCTCCAGAGAGAATGTCGGTCTCTCCGATTCGGATGTATATGAAACGAGCACAGCGTCCTTCGCGTTCGTTTTAATATTCAGTTCCACGCGGACCGTTTCGGCGAATTCGAAGCGTTTGGCTGTGAAACAGCGGGAAACTCAGACGAATTCTAGATGAGAGAGTAGAAACCAGAGGAGCCCCGCAGCGAGCTCGTCGAGAAATATTACTCACTGTAGGTTGCGTATGCGTCCCCTCGGAAATGGGCGCCTCGACGAGTTTTCGTCGGACAAGGACCAGCGTTGTACCTGGTGACCCTTGTCGAGGTCTGCATATCGATTGTCTGCCCGTTCAACTCGAGCTTCGACATGCAGCCGTGCACGGACGACATCGACTGTAATTGACTTCAGTTTAGAGGAGGCTTTGCGCGAGCGAGTGCTTCAGCCGGCCAGGCTGCAGTCATCATGCAGGCGGGAGCTCGAGCAGACCCGCTCAACTCACCGGATCCGACGAGAAGCCGGCGGTAGTCAGGACGGACATGGGCAAACCGCCCACGTACAGCGGGGCAGATACGGGCATGTTCCTCTTAACTTCCACAACTCCTTGCTCCACGTCGTCGACCTCGAGTGTGACCGTCTCGTTCGCTTTGCGCACGCTCACCTGAGCGGAAAAGAGGATCTATTATTTCTGAAATCACCGGTTTCATGCGGCTCGCTGTCGCCTTCCCCCCGCTTTCCGTTGATTTTATACCATCGTCAGAAGCACCCGCCGCAGAGGTTATCATGCGTACATGGGCCTTACAGCGGCGAGCTGTCCCCGATTTTTGGGAGGCTGCCCTTTCATAACACCTGCACTCCCATCATGTAGTTATGCAGCCAGAGGCGCTTCATGAAGATCGGATTGATATATTTCCAATAGCCATTGCGCTGGCAGGTGCACGACAGCTAGCTCTTTCCCCCGATCCCAATGAATCGCAAGACATCAATGGTCATACCCCGGAAGCCGTCCGATAATCTATTTCGTCTCCAAGATGCCGATACAGTGAACTCCGCTTTATGGGAACACCGGTCAATGAGATCCTCCGCTTTTAATCGGATCGCTCTCGGAGTGTTCCGGTCAGAGCGTATTTTCCGTCGATTCGAGCTCCGCTTAATCGGATCCTCCGCCTATTCGGATCGAAATTG